AGGGGAAAAGGCGAAAGACCCATCGCCCCGTCTCCTCCTGGATCCACCTATGGATATATGCACACATATTTATAAAATGCAAAAGTATGTTTAAAAAAATAAGCGGAGGGACAGGAATGTTTTGGTCCATTCCTGTTCTGCACCACAACTGGACTTCATCATTACAACAGTTGCAGTACTGATACGTATATGAGGAATATTTCATAATAACTATTTTAAAATTTATGTTACGGGGTAATTTCTTGAATAGTCGATAACTATAAAAAAATAAATGAAAAATAAAGGAATGAAATGACTGGCTTTAATCACATGAAGAAAAAAGGGCCCAGTTTTTATGCTTTTTTTTTACATCTGTGCAATGCAAAAACCCATACTGACGAGAGGTTGTTTGTATGCGTCTGTTTGTTCGTCTGTACGATTTTTCATTTCAAGAGCTACAAAAGCTACAGGGTTGAAACTTTGGGAACTTAATCTACATGCATTTATAGGCCTCTAAGAAATTACCGCTCTTACCTGCGTGGTACCCACGTATGGGCCAGTGCAAGTTTTTGCGAGTAACTAGCTAATTCGGGAACCTGAAAAGCTAGAAGTGTGAAATTTCAAGGGGATGTTTCTCGACAGTCCTAGTGACAGTCTTAGTTCTCTTAGTTAAAAGCGGTAGCGACAAAAACCTGCGTGGAACTATGCAAAAAACGCATCTTCGCATCGGCAGTCGGTGCGCTAGCCAATTATTACATTGTGTTGCAGCATTCCCGGTCACAAACTACATTCGGAACAAGCTGAATCTGCCGCGGAATTGTTTCATCATTCAGCACTGTTACATCAGTGCAAAGGAATTACCGCCAACCGAATTCTATGGATATGGATTTGGTCTGACGGTTCAAAAAGCCGTTTGTGCGGCATCCAAGGAATTCGTCGAACGCATGTTTTTCAGCGGCTTAATTACCCCAAAGCTATTTGCTTACATTGGTGTGTTTTTTCTTGTGATTTTTTTTGTCACGTAGAGCTTCTAGCCTGGAAAAAACACTACGCAGTACAGTTTCAGACATAACGCCGAAAGTCTTGAGTTAGGCATATTGCCAGATGTCGAAGATACTTAAAATTTTTGAGCCGATAACAATTTTGAGCCATTTTGAGCCAATAACAATAACAATTTGAGCTACTTTTGCATCGTTTTGTTGAAGATAACAAGGTATACAACAAAGTGCTCACGGACCAGAAGATTAGATTGATTTTTAGAGAGCGAGAGAATATTTCTTCTAAATCCTTAAAAAATTAAGGGATTAGAGAAAAAAACTTAGGGGTTTAAAAAGGAATATTTCTTATAAACCCTTAAAAATTAAGGGTTTAAAAAAATTGAAAATTAAGTAAAACTATTGCCATAACCATGAGAGGAAGTAAAAATGAGAATTTTACCGTTCAGGACATTTTCCTGGCTTGGCGAATAGAATTTTTTTATTTTCTACTGGAATGGGTAAGTTAGCATTTTTTGCATTATTTGCAGCTTTGAATATGCAAACGACAAAAGACGAAAAAATGCGCAAAAAATGGAACCG